CATCCGCGCTCGGAGGTCCGCGCGAAGTTCTCGGCTCTGCGTTTAGCCCCCCAGCAGTGCCTCCAGCACTGCCCCTGGCGCGCTCCCCGCTCCAGCGAGGGGGTCCAGCGCCGACCTGTCCCCCCCCCCCCATCCTATCCCCCCTTCCCCTCCATCCTCGTCCTAGCCCTTCCTCTCCTCCCCTTCTCTCCCTGCCCACCTCCTGCAGGAGGGGGAGGCGGAGGAAGACGAGGAGGAGGAGACAGGAAGTTTGGGCTTTTCGTCAGCCTCGACTTCTCTTGGACGGGCCGACGCTGTCGCCATCATGCGCGCGTCGCTGAAGCTATTTCATCAACCGGTTCTCGGTGGCCAGACACTGCTGACGCAAACAAAGTGCAGCGCGGCATGGCCGACATGTACGATGCTGTCCGCAAACCCAGCTTTACGTAGTCTGGTTACTGCGTGAAAGAGCGTGAGAGAAAGAGAGAGAGAGAGAAGTGAGAGACGACACTGACCGCCTGTACAGACTGGTGCCAATGTCTGCCCATCCCATGGCCGCAAAGGTGCTCTGGCGCCAACGTGCCGGGCCCTCGCGGCTCACCGTGGCAGGCCCGAGTCTGGGAGAAAACATGAAAGGCTTTCCGGGGGCGTCCAACAGGGGGGCGAGGAATACTGTCAGTTTGTGATTAACAAATCCGTGGGGGCGCGCATTTTTAAACATAGTTTCCCTGCTCGAGCGAATCGTGGGGTGGCGCCCGCCAGATTGAAAATCAGCGGCGGCGGCGGCGGCGGTGATTAGCGCCGACACCCAACCGCCAGCGGGAAGGCGACGGACAGTACAGACTGGGGCAGGGGAGGGGAGCGGGAGGCAAAGGCAGCAGAAGCAAGGACAGTGAGCCAGGGCGACACTTGCTCGAAATGAAGAAGATCTGCTGTTGGCGCTCGCCCCCGCACTTTTCCGTGCTCTTTTCTGTCGAACCGATGAGTTTCCGTTACCCTGGCCGCAGCCAGAGGGGGCGCCAGCTGCCCCGCGGGCCCGCGAGCAAGGCGGGCTGGACGAAAAAGGGGGCGTGGCCAAGCAGGGATTTGCCCAGCAGCTCACCTTGATGATTTTCCGAGCGCCCCCTGGCGCCGACAGCGGCCATACATCGCGGAGTGGCCCCTCGGCGGGGCGACCGAAAACAGCTGCGTGCAGGAGGTTTCGCAACCCGCCCTTTCCTTCCCCAGCCTTTCGTCCGACCCGAGCAAGGCGGACAGTCCTCCTCACTCCTCTGTCGTCGTCGTCGTCGTTGTCGTCGTCGTCGTCCAAGGCGGACAGTCCTCCTCACCCCTCTGTCGTCTTTGTCGTCGTCGACGACGACGACGACGGAGGCGGCGGCGAAGGCGCAGGCGGTGCGCGGCGAGGGGGCCGTGGCAGCGGTTTGGGAGGCGTGGGAAACAACAAACGAAAACCAGGACGAAGACGGACGAGGACTTGGACGTGGACGATGACGAGGTGGACGAGGACGAGGACGAGGGACGGAGGACGCCACGCGGCGACGGCGGCGACGACGACGACGCACTGCGGATGCCCTATGGGGGGGGGGCGTTGCGTGCGCAGGCCCGCTGCAATCGACGACGACGACGAAGACGATGGCGACGACGACGAACGACGATGACGACGACGGCGACGACGTCCACGACGACGCCGCGACGACGACACGACGCACTGCGGACGCCTGGGGGGTGGGGTGCTGCGCAGGCCCGCTGTATTCGACGACGACGACGAGGGCGACGTTTGAGAGAGGGAAACGTTCGCCTCGGATGTGGGCAAACCCCATGGCAACTTCTATACGGAAGTCAATCCTTTTGAGGCTGTCGCGCAGAGGGGGTGCAGGATCCCTTCGGCGGCGCGAGAGACGACCCCCTGGCCCGCGCGAGTAAACAAAGGTTTCGCGCCCCGCGGGATTCATTCATCGGCCCAAGGGGGTATCCATTCGCTAATCACAAGCTGACATTACTCAACAAGGGTGGTGGATATCATGACCGTCAGTCAGGCAGTCAGTCCAAGCCGCGCGTCAGAATGTACAGGAGCAATCTGGCGCACGTAACGCGCCAACAAAAATAAATGAACGCACAGCCTGCCTCCAGTCTCGAACTGGGATAGTGCATGCGTGGCCAGTTAAACTGCAATATTGTCGCGTGCATCATTTGCTATTTTGCGCAATTCGGTGGACCACGTCTGTCGCGGCCTGCCTCTCCTCCGTTCGCCGGAAAGGGGGCCGGGGCTATCATCGCCAGGGCCGTGACATCTCCCCGATTTCGTTGCCCCTACTTGGTTTTCCATCCGCCCGCCCCCAATCGTCCGCGCGGGTGGCTCGAGCCACGGTGCGCCCCTCCTCCTCCTCCTCCTCCTCCTCTTCCTGGCCTCGGAGCCTTAGAAGTTGATGCCAACACCACAATAGGCGGTTGGCTCTATCGAGAGACCGTTCGAGTTCGACAATGGTGGTAATGTTCACAGACATGTTCGCGTCTCGTTGTTTTCGGCCCCCGGGGAACCTTATTGGGCCTTGGGACCATTAGCGAACGACTTAGGATGAAACACCAGTCCCGGAGAGTCATGGGAAATACGACGTCGGGACTCTGATCTCGATGATGGTGTTAGTATTCATTTTTTACTAGGTGGCTCTTATAATCAGCAACGCCACCCAATATCATCTTTCCACAGTGGAAACGATCCCCGTGTGCTCGTCGTGTTGCCCATATCCAGGCCTCCCATGGTCAGGGGGGAATCAAGCACAGACACACCTCGCTTTCGATTCCCAGGAAGTTTGGAAGATATGGGAAGTGCAGGGGAAGACGAGCACCCAGAAAATGCGGAAGATATGGGGAGTCTTGGGATTGGCGTCTGTTTGTTTGCGTGTCCCCTGGGCCCTTTTCCCCTGCTTCGGCGCACCCGAGGGCTGGCCGAGCGGGGCCGAGTGCAGCTCTGGTCGGGCGTGGGGCGCCGCAGGGCTCGAGGTGAATGGCGTTTTCTGGCGATCTCGCGGGCCGTGTTCGTCGTGATTCCGTTCTTCGGTATCGTCCAACCTCGGGGCTCAGGAGACGGGTGCCAGTGCAAACGGGGGTCCGCCAGGGCGCCCGACCTTGCAGGATCCTGCCTGGCCAGGGTCGCACTGACCCGGGTTTGAGCGCAGGATCTTGCAGGATCTTGCAGGATCCTTCGCGTTGACCCGGGTCTGGGTGCAGGATCCTGCAGGATTTTGCAGGGCCTGACTGGCCCGGGTCTGGATTGACCCGGGCCAGAATAGCTCCGATCCATGCAGACCCCCAACATCTCAGCACTCCAGTTGGGGATGTGCCCGCCGAGGCCCGAAGGGATCGGCCCACATCCCCTATCTGGGGCATGGAATCGGCCAGGGGGGCCCGGGCCGCGCCGGCGGGGATGACGACGGAGCGAGGGGCACCGGAGGCAGAACGGAGCCGAAGCACGCAGGGTTTCGCTCGAGGCCTCGGGCTTTCGCAGCTTCTGCGGGCTTCGCCGCCGCACGCAGGGGCGGGCGCGCGGAGGCGGACGGGGTGGGCGCGCGCAGGGGTGCACGGCGGTCGTTGAAGGCGAGGGTGCAACAAACCCGAGGTTCTGAACGACCCTTCCTTGCAATTGAAAAAGAAGCCTCGTGGGTGATATGCAAACTCGTTTTACATGTACATATGTATGTGTATATATATATATATGTGTGTGTTCCTTCGGTCTGTCCTTGAGCTTTTTCCATAAAGAAAAACCTTCAGTCGTCGAGCCTGTTCCCTTCTCCTTCAATCATCGAGTGGTTTTCCCTCCTCTCTCCTCTTCAGAGGGCGGGCGGCGTTCCAATCTGCTTTGGGCGCCTTCCTACTCCATGCTTCTACCCACTTCTTCAGACCGACGGCTAGGCGTGCTGAGGCGGGCGGGGCGGGGCAGAGGGGTCGGCATTTCGAGTAGGGGATCGGCTATAGAGCTGCTTTACCACAACATGCGTTTGGGGTCGGATGTTAGAACACCAACGCGTCAGATGTTTGCACATCTACGACCAGGTCTACGTCTTGATATATAGACTAAACGAAGTAATTCGAGTTGGGGGTAAGCCAACTTTGTGGTCGATCTCCTACTCGAGCGACGGACATTAGAGAGAGAGAGAGAGAAGCTGTGCACGTCGAAGGTTCACTGCCACAGCGGTGAGACAGGATCCATTGTTTTTGGCGCGGCTGTGAAGCAGTGAGGCGCCATGCAGAGACGACAACTACCCATTGGCACGGAATGTCCAAACATCTCGCCAAGCACGGCTCGTCTCGGGCATTGCCGCCTTGCCCACATCGGGGTGGGGGGGGGTCGCGGGCCGCGTGCCCGTGGTGCCCGTACGCGGGGGCCTTCTCAGGGGAGCGTTGACCAGGCGGGGGTGGAAGTGTGCGTTGTACGGATCTTCGACCACGTGTCGACCGGCGATGATCGGGCATTTGTTGTGATTGTTACGACCAGCGCCTTCTGTATCACCGAGTATCACCGAGGAGGAGAGGAGGAGGAGGAGGAGGAGGAGGACGAGGAGGAGGAGGAGGGGGAGGAGGAGGAGGAGGAGGTGTGAGCAGGAAAGGAGGACCCAGAGTGACCTGTTGTGCGGGCCCACTGGGGTCCCCTGGTCGCTGATGCGGTGCGATAGCAGCGGCCTGCGCGACCGGGTTCGGACCCCTCCCGCGGCTACCCAGAGCCGCGCATTGGAGGCCACTCTTGGATAGGGCCGCTCGTGCGCGTAGCCGACGGCAGCGGTGAGGCGGGGGGACTTCGGGCAGGAGCACTCCTCTGGCTCCCGCGCCGCGTCGCTGTCTCGCCGTCGTCATGTTTCTCGTCATCGTCGTCGTCGTCGTCGTTGTCGTCGTCGGAGGAGGAGGAGGACGACGAGGAGGAGGAGGACGACGAGGAGGAGGAGGAGGAGAAGGAAGAGGAGGAGGACGAGGACGAGGAGGAGGAGGAGGACGAGGAGGAGGAGGAGGAGGAGGAGGAGGAGGAGGAGGACCCGGGCACGGCTCAATTTTCCGTTCGAGAGGCGATCCTTTCCGCCTTTCTGCTGTTTTTCGCGGCCGCCGCATGTCGCGCGATGCGGAGGGAGGAGACGCGAGGCCACCACCGGCGGGTCAAACACTGGGGAGGGGGCCCACGACGCTCCGCCCATTGCTGGAGGCTGGAGGCGCCTCGAGCGGAGCGCCGCGGAACTCGGGCTGAGCGGGACGCCGCGAGCGGGACGCCGCAAGACTCGGGATACGGCAAGAGGGGCCCGGGGAGGAAGCGGTGCTGCTGCCGCCACCCGTGGCTCGTCCTCGCCTCCTCGGGCCTCCTGGGAGGGCCCTCGCCTCCCCCGCGGCGGGACTCGCCCCTCGAGGTCCCTGCCAGAGCACGCGCCCCGGGAGAGGTCTGGGGAGCGGGGACACGGTCACCTTGTGGTTTCCCGAGGGGGGGGGTATAGTGCGAAATGTGTTGCGTGCAGTTGGTTTCCGCCCCGCCGGCGGGCGCCTGTGCTCGATACACTGGCGCCTCCCGGCGCCGGAAGGCGCCCAGGGGAGCCGGCTGCGTACGTGAGTTGATTCGCTACGATCGCAAGGGGCACGGAGAGACTGGGCACGAAGACCGACAGCAAATGCTGTCCATTTCGAGCCAGAGTTGCTGTCGGCGTCGCCGCGGACGGTGTCTATTTGAGACACACAGCCACCCACCCAACCGCGCCCGTTGTCGAATTCGGACAACATTTGCTGTTTGGCATTGTACCCATTCCTGTCTGTATCCTTATGTCGGGCTTGGTCCCTCTACAGGGGGAATATTCAAAAATAGTAGAGAAAAAGTCTGCGACGATTTTGACAACTTTTGAATATTTTGGGTATTTTTGTTTGAGTATGTTTTATTTTTCGTCCACAATCCGCCTGTAGGGGGACATGCCCGACCTAACCGTATCCATTGCGGGCGTCCAAAGCGGATTCGTGAACCCCCCGTTCTGCGACCCCCCGTCTGACGACGACGACGACGACGACGACGACGACGACGACGACGACGACGACGACGACGACGACGACGACGACGACGACGGGACGACGACGACGACGACGACGACGACGACGACGACGACGACGACGACGACGAGAGGCTGGAGACGCCCCCCGAGCGGGGTGCCGCGAAACAGGGGCACACCGCTCCACGGGGAAGGCGGGCCGCACGTACGGGCCCCGAGAGAGAGAGGCACACGGCACTGGCACGTGCCCCGTGCGTCCCGCAGTGGTGGTGGCGCCGTTCTCCCCTGCTCCCAGCCCAGGCCCCCTCGAGTAATGACAACAAAAATCACGATGGGAAGTTCTTCCTAGTTTTCGGCCTCGGGGGGCCCTCTCACTGGGCCTCGGGACCGTCAAAAAACAACTCAGGATGAGAAACCGGTCCCGGGAAATGGGTCGAGATCTCTGGGGGTCGGCGTCATGAAAAAATCATGACGTCAGGGGTCTGGGACCCCAGACCCCCGGCGTAATGATTTTTTCATTGCGCTGACACCCAGAGGTCCCGACCCCTTCCCCAGGACCGGCTTTGCCTCTTTTGTCGTTTGCTGACGCTCCCGAGGCCCGGGGAGGGCCCCCGGAGGCCGTCATGCTTTTCGCCTTGCTCGAGGGGGTCTGGGAGCGGTGCCGCCGCCTCGGCTGCCCTCGTCGCCGCCGGCGCAGCCCTGGGCGCGGGCCTCGTGCTGCTGCGCGGCCTCCGCGAGCGCCGGGGCAGGCTGCGCCGGAACGCGGCGGCGCTGCCGCCCGCCTACGCGCAGCTCGCTGCGGACCCGGCGGTGCGGCGCGTCTACATGTCGGGGGGCGTCCAGCACTGGCCACGCGCAGAGGAGCCCGTCCCCAGGAATGGGTGGAGACCTCTGGGGGTCGACGTTGTGAAAGAAGCATGGTGTCGGAGGTCTGGGGATAGGGGGAGGGGAGGGCTTCCTGCGTCTTAGAAGGTGCGGGCCTTGTCTATAGATGCAGGGCCAGCGCCTCCTCAGGAGCAGCCTCCTTCTATGCAGCCTTCCCGACCTCGCCCTAGCCCCTTTTGCACGCCGACAAGTCCAACTCGGTGGTTTGAAATTTGGGTTCCTGAGGGATGGGGTCCTAAGTTTGGGGAGCGAAGAACGGTATACGATAAGCTTTTCCGCCTACGGGGACGCCTGCCCCCTGGGCGGCTGCAAAGTTTATATGCCCCTGGGGTGGCACGCAGGGGTGCAGACTTGCCAGCTGCCTCGGGGGCAGGCGTCCCCGACTAGAAATTCTAGCCCGCGAACTAAGGACGAGGTGGCTTAGGCAATGTGATTCACCCTTGGATCCCTTCCTATCCTCAGGGCCCCATTCCTCGAGGGCCCCCCATCCGGTTAACTACGGATCCGCCAGCCAGCTGGCCGATCCTGGCCTTGGGCCTTTGTCGATTCTCGCAAAGAGAGATCACCACCCAAAATTCGTTGAAGCATACCCAGGGCGACCATGCCCGAAATGACCATGCGCATGACGGCCGCCTAACCTCTTTTAGGCATGCTCAGGAGCATTCGCAAAATGAATACCACGGTACACCTCTTGCGCACGCGCGCAGCGACCCCCCCCACACACGCGCCCGCACTGCGTTCGCAGGCCCAGCTAGGCCTCCCGGAATCTGAAATCATTACGGGGAGCCAGATCCTGGCCTCCCTGTCGGTTCTGGGAGGCTCTCGTCGGTCCTGGGGGAGGCTTCCGGGCCTGAGGGTGCCTTCCTGCAGCTGCGCCTCGCAGAGTGCGCTCAGTGGGTGCCCTGGTCGTCTCGAACGGTCGCTGGGGACCCGAGCTATGACCCGAAGGCCTGATCTACCCGCGCACCGAAAACATCGAATGTGGTTGCCGGGGGCCTGAGCTATGACCCGATCGAAGGCCTGATCTACCCGCGCACTGAGAACATCGAGGCGGATGTGTTTCGCTGTGGTCGGCCTCGAGAGGCTGCTCTTGGGCCCCGAGGCCGTCGCGGAAACGGCCTGGGGCGAGGACCGGGTCGGGACCCCGCGGCAGGAGGAGGAGGAGGAGGAATTAGAGGAGGACAAGGAGGAGGAGGAGGAGGAGGAGGAGGCGGAGGAGGTTGAACAGATCAGGGCCTCGGGCCCGACAGTCTCGCCCGCCCAGGGTCGGCGCCGACTCCAGGCCCGGGAGCGGCTCTCGTGCACCCGCCCGTGGCTGCCGGCCAGGGCGGCGCGTGCACTGCTCCAGGGGGGCTGCGCTGGGGGCGCTGGCCCCGCAGACCCCCGACGTAATGAGTTTGTCATGATGTCGACCCCCAACAAGAGGTCCCGACCCTGTCCCCCTGACCGGTTTTGCCTCCTGCGTCGGTTTCTGCTGACGCTCCCGAGGCCCGGGGAGGGCCCGGGGAGGCCGAACATCAAGAGAAACATGTTCCGTCATGGTTTTTTTCGCATTGCTCGAAGGGAGCTCGCCCTGGAGGCCAGGGGCGTCCTGGCTCCCTGGCGCTGGCTTCCGCTCGTTGGCAGCCACCGGCGGGGTGGCCATGGCAGCGGCGAGCGCCTCGGGTGGTTGAAGGGGCCCGGCGCCCAGCGCGGCGCGTCACAAGAGTGGTGGCCGCGTCTTCCACCACCACCATGAGTTGGAGGGGGGGGTCCTCCTCCTCCTCCTCCTCCTCCTCCTCCTCCTCCTCCTCCTCCTCCTCCTCGTCCTGCTCCTCCTCCTCGTCCTCATCGTCGTCCTCCTCCTCCTCCTCCTCCTTCCACCCAAACTTCTGGTGGTGGTGGTGGTGGTGGTGGAAGAAAAGCTCATCAAAGAGGGGGCGCAGGAGAGGAGCAGATGCCGCCCGAGATCCAGGAGGGGTCTCGGAGATGGCACACGCCCCGCCCCCGTGCTGGGACGGTCTGGCCCCAGGAGGCCTTGGAGGCCACGAGGACGTGTCGGTTCCCAGTAGCTGCAGCTGCTCGTGAATCCGCTCCTAAAGGCTAGACGCTGCGCGTATCCCCACCAGATTGTGAGGCCTCGGCTTGCTGCGTTAGTCGTAGCCTGTTCGCGCTGCCTTTGCTTAATTAGTCTCTGCGTAGCCCGCTTTGACCTGACTCGCCGCCGGCGCGATCGCCCGCGGCCGCTGACTAAAAAGTATCCTCACCAGCCCATCCAGAAACGATGCCCAGGCGAGTTGAGAGGTCATCAGGAAAGTGCGGGAGCACAGAGGGGGACGGCCGAACCATGTGAAGGAGAGAGGGAGCGAAGAAGAAAATTGGATGGATGGATGAAGGAGTAGGGAGGAGGAGGATGAATAGGATGAGGAGGAGGAGGAGGAGGAGGCGGAGGGGGAGGAGGGGGATGAGAAGGGATAGGAGGAGGAAGGAGGAGGAGGAGAGCAAGCAAAAGGGCCAGAGGTCTCTTGGATGCTTCTCGGAGCCTCTTGGGGTATCTCCTTGGGCGTCTTGGGACGTCTTGGGGGTCTCTTGGCGGTCGTGGGGGGCTCTTCGGCGTCTTGGGTGCCTCGGGGGTGCCTCTTGGGGCCGCTTGGGATCCTTTTGGGGGCCTCTTGGGGGCCTCTTGGGGGCATCTTGGGGCCATCTTGGGGCCATCTTGGGACCTCCTGGGGACTCCTGGGCGCTTTTGGGGGCCATCTTGGAGGAGATCGATCAAACAAGAGAGGAGCATTAATTAGCGTCCCCCCCCCCAAGAGGCCCAAATGGGGCTCAAACCCCAGTAAAACCAATGATTTTGGCTTCCTCGCCGAGGCCGTTTTGGACGCAAACCCCTCCCCGAAGGGGAAGAGGGAGGAGTGTAAGAGGAAACACCCTAAACCACCTACGCCCAGAGGGCTGGTGGGATTTAGATTTGTATCGGGGGCGGCAGAGAGGGGGGCGATGACTAGGGGTGGGTGGGGTATCATGGCGTGGGCCGTGATATTTCCCTAAATTTCATGGCGCCTCTGCTTATTTCATTACGTCCCTGGCCGTCCCTTTGGCCGCGCACATGCCGCCGGCCATGATTTGCACCCCCCCCTCTTGGACGCCACCCTCTTGGCCGCTCCCAAATATATGCTAGCAGCGATGGAGCATCGCCCCCCCCCCCTCCCCAATCGCCCAGGAGCGTATCGCCGATGCCAGGTCGCCGCCTCCCGCCTTGGGCCAGTCCCCCCCCGCCCCTGTCGAGCCGCCTCACCGCTCGCGGGGTCGAGCACGGCCCCCAGAGGCCGAGCACGGCAGACCACGCGGGGATCGAGAGACGGGGTCAATGCGAACGTCGGGAGCGAAAGAAGGACGTCCACGCGCATGAATCCACGCTGGTTTCGAGAGTACGCATTGCGCGAACGTTCGTATCACGCGGGGCGCGACGTTTGGCAATGTACGTGGTTGGGCGCGTGCGTCCTTGTCCTTTGTGGGCTCTCTAAAGCGGGGGCCAGCCAGAACGCTGGATCTTGCAGGATCGTGCAGAGCCAGGGGTGCACTGCCCCAGGTTAGGGCGCAGGATCCTGCAGGAGGATCTTGGGGGATCTTGCAGGATCCTGCAATGCCATACTGACCTGGGTCTGGATTGACCCGGGTCAGTAGATCCCCGAACAGCACGTGGTTTGTGTTTGTTGTCGTCAAAGACGCGAGTAGATTGTATACCCAGGCCGCTGGGACCAGTCCGGGCGGCCCTTGGAAACAGTCCGGGCGCCCAGGGACCGCTCGCAGCTGCAGGAAGGGAAGGAACCCCGAGGCTGGGAAGCCTCCTCCGAGCACCGGCGACGGCCTCCAAGAGTCGACGGAGTCAGGATCGGCGAGGTGACCAGCTGAAGCCCCCCGATGCGTGCGCGAGTGGGAGGAGCCGGCGTGGCGCGCGGCCAAGGGCTGGCAGGGGACCGACTACGTCCGGCTGCGCTGCCGCGCAACGCCCGCCAGCTACACGCGAGTTTGATTAGCAGGCCCACCCTGCCAAGTTCCTCCTCCTCGTCCTCCTCGTCCTTCTCCTCCTCCTCCTCCACCTCCTCCGTCTTCTCCGTCTCCTCCGTCTTTTCCTCCTTCCTCCTCCTTCTTCCTCCTTCCTCCTCCTCCTCCGCCTGCCCTCGTGTCCTGTGTTGTATCACCCTGTTCATTTTAATCTATATTACCAATCTTTCTGTATCAGGATGATTTCTAATGCTATGAATTACGCTGGTACTTATTTGTCGTATTAACAATGCCATTATGCTTACTACTTTCTGTTATTATTGTTTTGGTAGTAATCTCAGCATTTGTATTATTTGTTGTTTTGAAGCGGCCGTAAGCTTAGCATCGGTATGTGTCATTCCCATCCTTATCCTTTCGTAGTATATTTAGAGCATCATTCGCATTGTTAGTATCAATGGAATATGTCATAATCATATTAAGTTGATTTCACCTCAATGTTCGTATTTGTCGTAGTATGTTTAGCACTCGTATGGTGAATAGCTTGATTCATGTATTAGCCGTCGTGTTCGCATGCGCATGCTTATCATGTGGGATCGTACTATCAGATGTGTCGTTCTTATTCTGTCTAATAGCATCAGCCTTTTTTACAAAACAAGTTGTCGACGTGCTACCATTCGTATGTCGTCTCTTACTACTGCGAAGTCTACCTATACTTGATACTCGTAGTAGTCGTACTATAATTACCACTCGTCTGATGTTTTTTTCATTATTTTTTTATATAAAAACTCATTATTGGAACCAGTATATATGTATATATGTCTATTAATATGCTCAGTCGTAAGAGTATCTGTGCTACTCTTAGTAACATTCTTATTAACGCCGTGTTATTGTTTTATGATGAGTAGTGTGATTTTCTTGTCAGTTCTGTCACAGTACGAGATATGCTTATAATGTTTATTGGTACGGTTCATGCTATTCATAGTGTTACCGTAATATATATTGTGATTTGTTTTTACCTAACAGCGAAGACTGATAGGTTTCTAGTAGGGTCAAAAGAGCTCACAGATCACTCCACAGGGGGGTCCGGGCAGGTGTTGGGAGTTGCCGGGCGGCAGGGTGCCGGGCTCGTTTTTCGCCAACAGTCACACACTTCGTGCTCGTCGACCTCCAGAACCCCATTCCCAGGCCACATTCTGAATAACCGGATGCAACAGTCACACACTTGGTGCTCCTTGACCTCCCAGAACGCCATTCCCGGGCCACATTCGGAATGCCCGGAGCCAACTGTAGGCCACTTCGTGGTCTTCGAGTTCCCAGAACTCCATTCCCGGCGTACATTTTGGATGCCCGGAGCCAACTGTAGGCCACTTCGTGGTCTTCGAGTTCCCAGAACTCCATTCCCGGGCCACATTTTGGATGCCCGGAGCCAACTGTAGGCCACTTCGTGGTCTTCGAGTTCCCAGAACTCCATTCCCGGGCCACATTTTGGATGCCCGGAGCCAACTGTAGGCCACTTCGTGCTCTTGGACTTCCCAGAACTCCATTCCTGGGTATGATTTTGAATGCCCGGAGCAAACTGTAGGCCACTTCGTGTTCTTCGAGTTCCCAGAATTCCATTCCCTGGCCACATTTTGAATGCTGAGGCAGGCTGATGCTGAGGCTGAGGCAGGCTGAGGCAGGCTGAGGCTGAGGCCGAAGCTGAAGGCAGACTCAGGCTGAGGCTGATGCAGGCTGAGGCTGAGGCTGAAGCAGGCTGAGGCTGATGCAGGCTGAGGCTGAGGCAGACTGAGGCTGAGGCTGAGGCTGATGCAGGCTGAGGCTGAGGCAGGCTGAGACTGAAGCCGAGGCTGAAGGCAGATTGAGGCTGAGGCTGAGGGCTGAGGCAGGCTGAGGCTGAGGCTGAGGCAGGCTGAGGCTGAGGCTGAGGCTGAGGCTGAAGGCTGAGGCTGAGGCTGAGGCTGAAGGCAGGCTGAGGCTGAGGCTGAAGGCAGGCTGAGGCTGAGGCTGAGGCTGAGGCTGAGGCTGAGGCTGAGGCTGAGGCTGAGGCTGAGGCTGAGGCTGAGGCTGAGTGAGGCTGAGGCTGAGGCTGAGGCTGACAGGCTGAGGCTGAGGCCGAGGCTGAAGGCAGATTGAGGCTGAGGCTGAAGCAGGCTGAGGCTGAGGCAGAGGCAGGCTGAGGCTGAGGCTGAGGCAGGCTGATGCTGAGGCAGGCTGAGGCTGAGGCTGAGGCTGATGCAGGCTGAGGCTGAGGCAGGCTGAGGCTGAGGCCGAGGCTGAAGGCAGACTGAGGCTGAGGCTGAAGCAGGCTGAGGCTGAGGCTGAGGCTGAGGCTGAGGCTGAGGCAGGCTGAGGCTGAGGCAGGCTGAGCTGAGGCTGAGGGCAGGCTCAGGCTGAGGCAGGCTGAGGCTGAGGCCGAGGCTGAAGGCAGACTGAGGCTGAGGCTGAAGCAGGCTGAGGCTGAGGCTGAGGCAGGCTGAGGCTGAGGCTGAGGCAGGCTGATGCTGAGGCAGGCTGAGGCTGAGGCGGGCTGATGCAGGCTGAGGCTGAGGCCGAGGCGAGGAGGCTGAAGCAGACTGATGCTGAGGCTGAAGCAGGCTGAGGCTGAGGCTGAGGCAGGCTGAGGCTGAGGCTGAGGCAGGCTGAGGCTGAGGCTGATGCAGGCTGAGGCTGAGGCAGGCGAGGCTGAGGCTGAGGCTGCGAGAGGCTGAGGCTGAGGCTGAGGCTGAGGCTGGCTGATGCTGAGGCAGGCTGAGGCTGAGGCTGAGGCTGAGGCAGGCTCAGGCTGAGGCAGGCTGAGGCTGAGGCCGAGGCTGAGGCAGACTGAGGCTGATGCAGCAGGCTGAGGCTGAGGCTGAGGCAGGCTGAAGCTGAGGCTGAGGCTGATGCTGAGGCAGGCTGAGGCTGAGGCTGAGGCTAATGCAGGCCACTGCGACTGTCATCGCGAATGCGACTACGACTGCGAGAACAGCAGAACTCTACAACTGGATTCTCATCTGAATCTTAAGGGGGATGCTTCCAAATATGCTCCTACACATCGCTGTTAGGTTGCTTTGCCGGGATAATTTTGATTAGTATTATGTTGCGATTTTCTGTTATTGGTCCTGATATCAGCACTGTTATCATTCTTCTTCAGTGCATTATCATAATAAGTTGCATCGTATTGTGTGTTTCTTATTTTCTTTAGTAACATTATTTGTAGTGATAGTCGCACTAGTTATTTTATACTTATCGAGGACGCCGGCGGCGCATCACCGGCCGCTCCCTGGGATTTTTTACTTAACAGCGAAGACTGATAGGTTTCTAGTTGACTCAAAAGAGCTCACAGATCACTCCACAGGGGGGCCCGGGCAGGTGTTGGGAGTTGCCGGGCGGCAGGTGCCGGGCTCGTTTTTCGCCAACAGTCACACACTTCGTGCTCTTCGATTTCCCAGAACTCCATTCCCAGGCCACATTCTGGAGGGCCGAATGCAACAGTCACACACTTCGTGCTCTTCGAGTTCCCAGAACTCCATTCCCGGGCCACATTCTGCCGGATGCAACAGTTACACACTTCGTGCTCTTCGAGTTCCCAGAACTCCATTCCCGGGCCACATTCTGGAGGGCCGGATGCAACAGTCACACACTTCGTGCTCTTCGAGTTCCAGAACTCCATTCCCGGGCCACATTCTGGAGGCCCGGAGCCAACTGTAGGCCACTTCGTGGTCTTCGAGTTCCCAGAACTCCATTCCCGGGCCACATTTTGGATGCCCGGAGCCAACTGTAGGCCACTTCGTGGTCTTCGAGTTCCCAGAACTCCATTCCTGGGCATGATTTTGAATGCCCGGAGCCAACTGTAGGCCACTTCGTGTTCTTCGAGTTCCCAGAACTCCATTCCCGGGCCACATTTTGAATGCTGAGGCAGGCTGAGGCTGAGGCTGAGGCAGGCTGATGCTGAGGCAGGCTGAGGCTGAGGCTGAGGCTGATGCAGGCTGAGGCTGAGGCAGGCTGAGGCTGAGGCCGAGGCTGAAGGCAGACTGAGGCTGAGGCTGAAGCAGGCTGAGGCTGAGGCTGAGGCAGGCTGAGGCTGAGGCAGGCTGAGGCTGAGGCTGAGGCAGGCTGAGGCTGTGTCTGTGACTGTCGTTGCCGCTGCGACTGTCATCGCGAATGCGACTACGACTGCGAGAACAGCACAATTCTACAACTGGATTCTCATCTGAATCTTAAGGGGAATGCTTCCATATATGCTCCTACACATCGCTGTTAGGTTGCTTTGCCGGGATAATTTTCGAAGAGGTGCGCAGCATCGAAAGTGGTGACGCGGCGCGTATGCCAGCTATCAAATAGCCGTCGGCCCATCCCGCCACCGTGCTTGGGTTTTGGGTCGGTCGGAGTCCTCATGGACTCTTCCTGGGGTCTCTAGAGAGGGCTCTCGGAGGCCTCCGCGGGGGAGTTTAGGGACCTCTTGGGGGCGTCCCAGGGACTTTTTGGAGACCTCTTGGGGCCCTCTTGAGGCCTCTTGGGGCTCTCTTGGGGTTTGTTGGGGGCCTCCATGGGGCCTCTTATGGCCTCCTGGGGGCCTCTTGAGCCGAAAGCTCGAAGTGTTCATTCGGGTTCCCCTTCTGGGCCTCCTCTTGGGGCCATCCTGGGGCCCCTCTTGGGCCGTCCCCGGGGCCTCTTGGGCGGTCTTGGGGCCCTCTTGGGCCGTCTTGGGGCCGTCTTGGGTGCCTGTTGGGCCGTCCTGTGGCGATCTTGGGGGCCTCTTGGGCCGTCGTGGAGCGTGGGTAAGCCGAAATGGCGTGAACGTGCGATTCCGTCAAAAACTATTTTGGACATTAATTTTTGTTTTTTTGGGGCTGTCTTGGGGGTGCTCTCTTGGGGTCTGGAGCGATCTGGAACCGTCTGGGCTCTCTCTGGACTGCTCGGGACTCTCTTGGACGGCTTGGGGGCCCTTGGGTCGTCCCCGGGCCGTTTGAGACCTTGGGGGGGGGGGGGGCGGCGGCAGAGTGGGGCCCCCTCGGAGGGACTTTCAGGAGGTTTTTT